AAAACAAGTTAGTTTGTAAATGTGGAGGTGAGAAATTATAATGTTAGTACAATCAGATCATGTTTATCACTCCAATGAGCACCACTTCTATATGTGGATCTGAGCATCTTGAGAAAGAAAGCTTCCAGATGGACAACTAGTGTTGCTACTGAAAAGGTATTATGCATTATTTTGTCTTGTCTTTAATTATGGGGGGAGAAGCACAGAATGGAAGAAGGTGTGGCAAAACATAGGGGAATTGCAAATGAAAAACAACTGTGACAGTGCCTGGACCCTTGTAAAACTTATATTTGGGGCAAGGGAAGTGCACATAAAGTCTAGTTTAGATAAACCTAAAAATTGAGATCAGGCTGAATAGCTATCAGAAGTGGTGGTTGAATTATGGAAGCATCCTTAGGTTGGAAAAACCCCTGAGAAATATGTTGGAGTTTTGACACAAGGATCTTCTGTTTATCCTCAGCCAGTGTGGTGTAGGGCAGTGGTCCCCAGCCTTGGGTCTCCAGATGTTCTTGGACTACAACTCCCAGAAGTCCTGACCAGCAGAGGTGGTGGTGAAGGCTTCTGGGGGTTGTAGTCCAAGAACATCTGGAGGCCCAAGGTTGGGGACCACTGGCGTAGGGGATAAAATGATGGATTAGGGCTCAGGAGGCCTGGGTTCAAATTCCCATTCAGCCATAGAAACTCACTGGGATTTGGAACCAGTAAAGCTGCTACTTAAATATGTTACTTGAAAGCCTTTTAAATAAATTTGCCATCAAGTCAATTTGGATTTACAGCAGCCCTTTTCAGGGCCTTTTGCAGGTAGAGAAGACACAGAAGTGGTTTACCCTTCCCTTCTTCTGGGGGCATCCTGGGACTCTACAGCTTGTCCATGACTACACAGGCTGCTTCTAATTGCAGAAGGCACAGTGGATCAGAACCATGACTACACAGGCTGCTTCTAATTGCAAAAGGCACAGTGGATCCCAACCTCTGGCTCCACAACCAGATACTTAAACCACTGAATAATCCAGCCAGCTGAAAACCCTATTAGGGTCACTATAAGTCAGTTTCAACTTGATGGCATAGATAGAGCAACATACATGTGACTCAATAAAGTATAAATCACAAAATGACTGTCTTCAGCCATTTTACTGCTAGGAAACAACATCATTAATAAAACTTACATCCCTGGAGTTCTCTCAGCTTGGAGAACTGAGGTACAAGTGTTGTGCTCTGTTGCTTTTAAATGTGTTTTTAGTATTTATTTTATTTACTATATTTAATATACTGCTGTTGCTGCTGCTACTACTACTACTAATAATAATCTTAGAACTTGTTTAATTCCTTTAAAATATTTGTATAATTACTATTTACAGTTTTTAAATATTGCCTTCTTAATGATGTAAGCCACCTTGGGTCCTTTTAAGGAGAAGGCGGGATAAAAATATTTTAAATAAATAAGGGTATAATATGTATTAGCATACCATTTTAAAAATGCTTTTGACAGCTGCTTAACAAGCAAAAACCCAAACTAAGCTTACTGTACATAGGACATAACATGCATGACCACACCTAATGTATCTGAAAGATGTGGAGGTTAAATACTGTAGCTATTGTACAGTGGAAGGTAAGACTTCAATCCTGTTATGCAAGTACAGCACATTTGCCGTTCCAGATATTCTGGATTACAACTGCTACAGTCCCATACCATTGGCTATGCTGAATGAGACTTCTGGGAATTGGAGTGTGTGTTTGTCAACAGGACTATAGCTGAGAGGACAGAATTAGGCCCCTCCCTCTATGCGGCACTCTTGATCTGGGTTGCACAGAAGGTATTCTATAGGCTGACCCCTCCCACCCCAAAAGCACAATTCAGGATTAGAATAATGTTGCTGGGTGTGAGAACATTTTCTCTTGAAAAAAATAAAATAAAATATGAAAGCATGCCCATGGTATTGCCCTTGCTGCCTTTTGAAAATATTGCTACACAAAATGTTCACTGAGAAAAATGTTCTACAATGGGACTGATTCCCAGTAAGTGGAATAGATAATTGATTTACAGCCATAATCGATCAAATGCTCTGTAGTTCACATGAAACAAAATTGTTTACCCATTGAAAAGCTTTAAACTACTTTTCTTTGTATATTTTGAAGCAGGTTATTCATTAATCACCCATGTTTTCCTCTTGTTTAGTACTGTATCTAAACTGAAATTGCCCTAAGAGGCAGAGTTATCACTATTTTGTACTCTATTTATTTCAAACAAATCAAGAGTTCTTTGGGAAGAAGAGGAGTACATGTTTTTAAATCTGCTAGTTACATTTAGCTTTCAGACTGTGGAAAGGGGTGACATGAGATGCTTGCAGGAAGTCAATGAATGTTGGAACTCTATCAATGATCTGCTTATTTTACAAGACAAGTTGTCACTGTGGATTCATTCCCTCTTGGGAAACCTTCCTGTCTCTCCAGGATGGAATGTTGAAAGTAGCAGATGGAGATAGGAGAAGTGGGATGATTATATGAAGGAACTAGCTGAAAGTATTTTTTAGATCTAAACTGCCCTCCAGTATTCTGTAGCATGGGACTTAGGTAGAAAACTGGTAGCGCTAACAGAGGATATACGCACTGTTTGAGAGCAGAGAAACAGTAGCAAACAAGAAAAACAAATCCAAATCAAGTGTTTATTATGTATTTATTGAGAAAAACTAAATGCTTTAAGAAAAGTCTCTGTCGGTATTTTGTTGACTCTCTCAAGTATTGCAGTGATTCCATTTAAAAAAGATTCAGGCTGGCCGCAAATGAGTATACATCACAGCAGAACTTGGAATAAACTAGTGATTTAAAAAAAAAAACCTTATTAGGCTGATTTAGTAATATTAATCCAATAAGTACCAAAGACAACCCAGAAAATGGATTGTAGGATTTGTTGTCTCAGACAGCCAGAAAGTACGAGGTGGGGGAAGCCAATTTAAACTACAAAAAATACAAATTTGAGGGGGTCAGTGAACACAAACACAATGGGAGCAATGTGTCAAAAACAGGAACATATGCATTTTCTTTGGATGGCTCGGTGGTTTAGATATTTGGCTGCAGAATAAGAGGTTCAGAGTTTAATTTTCCACTGTACCTCCTTGACAGGGTCTGGACTCAATGATCCATAGGATCCCTTCCAGCTGTACAGTTCTGAGATGATGATGATGATTCTCCTGGGGTTTCCTTTAAAACTAGTAAATTTAATGTTTAACTTATCGAATTAAAAACTATCTTCTACTGTTAATCTACACAAAATTATTTTGGGGGGGTCCTCTAAGATTCGAAACACCACAAACTGAATTATTAAACTTAATTGACCACAAACCAGAATTATCATAGGAGAAATCAAAGAGGAACCAGATAGGAGAAAGCAAAAACCAGAGAGATTATCATAGGAGAAAGTATGAAAATGACTATTCCAGAATGATTTCCAGTGGACAAAGTTGCCAGACAATGTTAGGAAAAGTTGAAGGTAATAGGGAAAAAGGAAGACCTAACGTGGATACAGTATATTGACTCAACAAAGGAAGCCACAGGTTTTATTCTGCATGACTTAGTGGGGTTGTTACTGGTAGAACCTTTTAGAATTCAACAATTCATGTAAGTTGGAAGAGGCTTAATGACACATAACAAGAACAAACTGAAAGCTTAACAGATTGGTCCTTTTAAACTAACATTCCAACTTCTGCCTCACAGATGCCCATGTTTCTGATATACACACTAGCTCTCTACACAGCACAGGCCAAATTTTGTATTGTGTATGTATTTTTCTTTTGTTGTCAGTATGTCTATATTTGGTGGAGGTGACTTCAGCCTGCATTTGCATGTCCCCTTTATGTGGTGATTATACATGAATTCCATTATATACATATGTGCTGGTAAACCACAGTTCTGGCTTCCTGTTCCTCTACATGTTGCAAATCAGACCCATGTGTGATACTTATGCCTTATGATTTACACGTGGTTTTTATTTATATGGATATATCTTGTGAAAATGTTCAATAACGTCTCCCTCACCTTTTGAATACTGAAACAGGAACCCTGATCCTTCATCAGGTACAGTACCAACACTCATCACTTCTTAGAGTTCCTAAAAGCTTTCTCCTATCCTTGATAAATATAACAGTTTCTTAAAAAATGTATCTGAGTTCAGCAAGTACTTTGTCGTGATGCACATATTCACGAAAATCTTACCTGCTATACTCAGAAATCTTGTCACTGTATGCCTCCATACTAGAAGTCCTGTTGGGGAAAACAGCCCATTGGAATGTGAACTTTAGACGTTTGTGTTTTCTTTAGAGTGCCAATATGAAAGTTGTCCGCAATATAGCAAAGTTTGTATTTAAGGTGATGGGCATAAGATCTCACTACGTTGATCAAGCGGGTTCCCTGCAGGGGTGACTCACTCAATTAAAATATGTACATGTTTTATATTTTGCTATTGAAATGTATTTTATCTCTTTTTAGCTGTTTACTTTGGATCTTTGTGATTTGTATGCTTTTTGATATGGTCAAAGTGACTCATCAAATAAATAAACACTGAATGTAGTGGAAATGCAAATTATGGCAGACATAATAAACACTGAATGTAGTGGAAATGCAAGTTATGGCAGACATGACAGCTGTCTATCTGAATTTCCTTCCAGGTCTTCCTGAAAAACTTTAGTTTAACACAAAACAAGCCCAAGACATGTTGTTGCACATGAAGGACAAGATGATACCTGCCATTCCAGATACTGAAGTCAACTGGACTTGTACTGAAGTCTTCTGTCACTGCTGTGTACGAGACAACATCCTCCACTCACAAAGGGTACCAGTCTGTTTCAAGTAGTATAAGACAGATCAGGGCTTATACAGAGCTCTTTTTAGAATATCTGATACTTATTGCCCACTCCCAGCATCTACGTACTTTCTGAGGTAGCTACCTCTCTTTGCCTAGCTATAAGGCTGGCCTTGAGAAATTTGTGACACAAAAGCCTCACATTCATCTTTTCCCCCTCCTGTTAATCTACATCTTTCCTGCTGCCTTCATCAGATGGGAGGATGCTGTAAAGGATAATGTCATGTCATGTATTTCTGTCATCAGTTATTACCCAGAAGATGCAGACTAAAAGCAGTCCTTGAAATGGTCTGAGGCCACGAGAAGATGGTTTGTGAAGGACAACTGGTAAACTAACTTCTATGAAAGTAAAGTTTTGAATTAAGTTATTCAAGTCAATGGCACTCTCTCTTTTCAGAAGTGTCTTGTTTAGTACTGTACTTTTATTATGGTATAAGATATAATAGATTCCTGTTGAGAAGTGGACAATTCTAAGGGATCCAGTTTATGTTTCTATTAGAATCAGTCCACTGACAGCATTGGTTACAAAACCAAGCAGTAGTTGCCAAATAATGGTTTGGGTAGGTGGACATAATTCTATGAATTTAGAAACAGGGTGCTGTTGTATCTGTGATCAGGCCAGGAATTTGTGATAAGTATAAAAACCATTACCATGTCCTTTTAAAAAAATCAATTTCTTGTTTTCTTTCATGTGTTCATTACTAGCAAACTTTGACTTGGTATGTGGGGTTCCTCACTATTAGACAATTTGAATTGAGGAATCCCTGTTGATCTGTTGCAGATCTCCCAGAGGTCTCCCAGTAGATCCCAATCTATCTTCATGCTCATTCCTGTGGTAAAAAAAAAAATCTTGTGCCAACTTTCCTCACCTTGGTGTCTTTTAGATGTGTTCATCTACTGCACCCATCATCCCTTGCCACCATGGCCAAAGACTATGATTATAGGGGCTGCGGTCCAAAACATCTGGAGACATCTGGTGGGAAAGGAAGGCTTACATTTTAAAATATCTCTTAAGCTAGAATCCAAATGCTGCATGTATCTTTCTACCAGAGCTGGTGCCCTTCCTTGTGCAAACCCCCATGCGCACAAAGTGTTGACCTGGAGTAAAAACAATTCAAGGTGTAGGGGGTGGTGTAGATATAGTCTTGCTAAGTCCAGGGATTGACATCTGCACCTTTTGGACCTCTGGAGATTCCTCGCCTCTGATCTAAAGTGCTGGGACGTCTTCTGGAGCAGGTTTTTTTTAACCTCATGGAGAACTGCAGAAGCAATGAGGGGAAAGGGAGCAAGACCCAATTTAAGTGATGTTGGATACCAAAGAAAAGTTTTGAATGTTGTTCTTAGTACTGTACTGCAAAATCCTTCTGTTGTTACTATTGGACCAGCCTCCACACTGTTACCCTTCTGGAAATACACTAGCCTATTAGTTGCATCAGCTGCACACAAAAGTTTCCACTTCAGTACCAAACATTTTATGTGTCCTTTTCTTCATGGATAGTGCCTGAGCAGGCAGTTATTCTATTGTCTGTCTGTCTGTCTGTCTGTCTGTCTGTCTGTCTGTCTGTCTGTCTGTCTGTCTGTCTGTCTGTCTGTCTGTCTGTCTGTCTGTCTGTCTGTCTGTCTGTCTGTCTGTCTACAGTATTCATCTGCCTGGCTGCCTGTGAATTTCAGATGACTCTGGCTTATCTGAGAATGACTTCCCTCATTTCCATGTTTTGTGATGAGACCTGTAAAATGAAATACCCTGCTTTAGTTCTCTACACCCTGTAATAACTGCAATCACAGTGATTTAAACTATTTATCATACTATTTAACCCTGAATGTAACCCAACAGGTTTTAAAAATATAACCTGGATGCTTTCAGAACTTTTTTCCTCCTTATGCAGTATGGAGTATTTTTCTTCCTATATCTTTACTTACTCCAGGATTTAACTTTGATCAAGTTATCATTTAAGTTATTCACACAACCATTTAGGCACACTAGAAGCAAAAAAGTTACATTATTCATTTTATAGGGCTGAAATTTTTTAATGGGAATTCCAGTTGCATCGACTGGTTCAAAATGTAGTATGAAGCTCTTGCAGCAACAGTAGTCCTAAGGAGAAGGAATGTTAGTTTAGGGTTAATTTCCTCTCCATTTTGTAGAAGCCAGCTATCTCAAACTTAGAGCCCTCCAGATGAATTGGACTATAACTCTTGTAATCCGACAGCAAGCATGTTGGGACTTGTGGTCGAACACAGGTGAAAGGCATGACTAGGTTGGGTAAGACAAATATAAGTTGATCCAAGTTCTTCTCACCAGTGTTTATTTTGGTGAGACCTCTGCAGTCTTTAGCAGATAATAAAAAAAGTTTATTGACTCCCAGATGGCCACCATTGGCTTTTGAGTTATTTTCATCTTGGTAGCTCAAAAGCTGTGCAAGTCTGATATAAGCACTCAATTACTCTCTATAGACACCAACAGCAACAACTTCCGTCACCCCCCCCCAATGTGGCAAATGATATAGTACTATGAGAGTTTTAGTCCTAAATATCTGGCAGCCAAATGTTCCTACACATGTATGGCTCTACCATTGAGTGCTAAAACTCTTTGCCAGTTAATTGAATTAGCATGCTTATATTTGTAGCCAAGCAATCCCCTTTATGCAGGGTGGGTGAAGATGATTTTAATTACCAGATTCTGCATCCTAGCTATAAAAGGGGTTCCTGAATTCTGTTCAAGAAAATTGAGGCTTCTGAGAGGATGGAACCCTTCAATTCAACTAAACCATTAGAGTGGAGAAAACAAATATTTTATCTGCTTTGTTCCATCTTTAGTGAAGCAATAGAAAACCTTGCTGTCTTCTGTTTCAATAGTGTTATTAAATTAACCCTGTAGCAAACAGAGTTTGAGATGGGCCTCGTATATGACATGAACTCAAACATTGAACTGTCATGCTCTTACCTTCTTCCTCTCCTTTCCTTGAAGGAGCTCAGAAGACTCTTACAACAAACCTGTGAGGTAGACTAAGAAACAATGGGTTGCTCCAGGTCACCTGGAAGACAGGGCAGATATCTGAATCTGGATCTCCTACAAATTAACCATTACACCACATTGTCTGTCATTTAAGCAGCCAATCTCTCAGCAGCGGCCAGGGTGGTTTGTTCTTCAATCACTAGTACACCAATGGATAAACAAAGGCCCTTACTTTTAGAGGTGTTGGTTGAGGCACATATTATGTCATTTTGCCAAAATACTGTATGAAATGTTGGCAAGTGTTTGTGACAATTTTCACTGCAGACAGTGAGGGGACTTGTAGCACTGTTGGCTTAGAGCTGTGGTCCCCAACCTTGAGTAACCCAGGTGTTCTTGGACTGCAGATTCCAGGAGTCTTTGCCACCAGCTGTGCTGGCCAGGGTTTCTGGGGCTTGCAGTCCAAAAACACCTGGGCTACCCAAGGCTGGGAATTATTGATAAAGTGAAGGGGGAAAGACATGTTCATGACATCAAAAGAAGTGTATTGGTGTGAGGAGTTGAACGATCTGTGGTGTTCGCCCCCATGGCCCCCATTTGTCTCACTAAACACAGAGCTCACAAAGGCAAACCCAAAACTCCCCTTGACACACTGCCACCAGTTGATCTCCTTATCAACTTACTTTACTCAGAAAAGACAAAGGTCCATTAGGTAAATACTTTTTAATAGAACAGGTTTATTGATTACAGTTAGTTTCTGGAACAATTCATTAGCACATTCTTCTAGTTTCCTCAAGCTTCAATATTAACCTTCTATAGTAATTATCACAGTTTACACTCAGACTAATGACTCCTCAGACCCCAAACTATCCTTCTCTCTCAGATTTCTAAGGCAGATTCTGACTGACTTAACTTCTCTTCAGGCTATGCCTTTTAACATCTCTTGTGGCCCCACCTCCTAACCACATTAGCATAGAACATGAATAATACATGACTCATATTACCTAATAAGGGGGAACGCTACACCATCTTACCTAAACCTCTTTCTCCCCTCAGACTGATGCCAAGACAGAGCTGAGCTGAGCAAACAGTCTCTAAAGGACACTTTATATAGGGGGGAGGAGAGTGAGAATTGTGTGCTTCTCTCCCACATACCTTTGTTGGCTCTGAACGTGTCTGCACATTCATGAGACATATGCACTCTGCTCTATGTGTCATGGGGACAAATAGGTAATTAAAATAAACGTGACTGTTGTCATATTGTCCAATTTGTCTCTAAGCCTTGTCAGAATAATACCTGAGGAGAGCATGATGAGCACTAGGCATCTGGAAATAAAGGATTCTTCTGGTCATTGGTTGTGAATAATCATTAATGTTTATTTTGTCACATATGAAGTGTGATTTTTCTGGGCTATGGGCAAAAGAAGGAGGAAAGAAAAGTGCATATACAGCAACAATAATAGGTCTGTCTTCTTCAGTATTCATCCACAATTATTCTTGGCACACTGGGAACAGAAAGTCAGAGCAAGTTTAGATGGTATCTCTCACTGGATCAACTTGTTGGTAGAAAAACAAACAAATAAAAAACCCAACAAAGTAAACATTCCAGGTCAAGCATTAGAAACCTTCCACTATGTTTGGAAATCAGTCCAGGTGAAAGACAGTTTTAATCTTTATCCCCTAAAATTAAACCATTCTTCCAAAACCAGCAGAATATTATTTTTAAATCTTCAGAAAGGTAAGGGAAGTATGTGTTTCATTGACTACTTTGTTATGTATCTTCTTTTACTGAGGACAAGCCTCTTTGAAGAGCTGTCCAAGTTCTGATTTAAAGATAAAGAACTGTAAAGACAAAAACGGGGAGATTTAAATTTGCCCATCCATAGTTTGGAACTGGACAGCATGGAGGCTAGCTGGTCTCAGCGTTTCCAGCTTCAGTTAGATGTAGATCAGTTTAGAACCAAATCTGATTTACAATATAGTTTATTTGCATGGGGAAATCTGGTGGAGGGTTGAGGGGCAGGAAGACATGGAGGTATGGGGAGGCTGCCTTTGGCACCCTGGGGCTGCACACAGCTCAAAGGACTCCCTTTACTCACCCACGGTTTAAATTATAAGCATTATTTCTAAATCTGCATCTATAAATTAGCATTCACATTTTCCCTCAGACTGGTGTTCTCTTTCGCCCTCTTTCTCAGTAATATACAAGTGACCACCCTGTTAGTAGCACAGATGTAGAAGTCATGCCATTTAGTTGATAAACACTAGAGCTGGCTAACAGCTCTGTGTTGGATTGAAGTAGAGCTGCTGCTAAACATGGCTGGAGGATCCTTGCAGAGAACATAAGCCCTAGATGAGGGCATTCTCTGTTTCTGTCAGTACTTACTGGAGATCATGTGTGGCAGTGGATTAAGGCCTCTTCAAGTGGATTACCCGATCAAGGCATTGTACTTTGCCTCTGAGAGCTTCTCAGCTATGCTCCAGTTTTGTTTTTCATCCACAGCTAGGCATTTCTGAAAAGGAGAATTGCCAAACACCGTTGTGATCAATATATGCCTGAATATGGTGAGGAAACATGCTACCTACATAAAATTGCCACTGGAGGGATATCTTAGGGAGATGGAGGCTACAGATCCAGAGGGCTGCAAGTTTGATTCCCCTCTGTGCATTGTAGGAAAAGATCCAGCCTCTGTGGTTTTGGGCAAACGGCTCAGTCCCAGGGTACCCCGAGAAGAAAGAAGTGCTAAACCTCTTCTAAGTTTACCTGGAAATGTCATAAGTGGGAAAGGACTTGACAGCATGTTATTATTATTACTTTATTAGCATTTGTGTAGCCAGCTATTAAAAAAAACCTAAACAAACAGAAAGGGGCCAAGTTTCCATTACCACTATGTGCAATGACAGAAACATTAGAAGGACTGTATATGGTTACAGCAAAGGCTTGTCTCATTTTCTGTATTTTCCCTACAGTGGCCAACTGGGAAGCTCACAAACAGAATGAAAGCCAAACAGCATCATCTCATTCATGGTTCCCAATAATCTATATTCATGGGCATAGTGCTTCTTATACTAGAGACTAGGGGACTCTGTACAATGTAGTTCAAAAATCAACTTTTCCAAACTTTGATTTTGGGATTATTATAAACCACAGTCAGCAACACAAGCATACTGGAAAGATGTGATATTAATATTTTGAATTATGTAAATAAATATTTTTCAAACTATTCATTGTTGTCCTATCAAGTATTACTACTTTTTCAGTATTCAGTAAAGAGAGAGAGAGTAAGATAGAGTGCATAGAGTGTCAGTCTGGAGAAGCATATTCCCATAAACTAATCAGGTAACTTTAGGTTAGTCACCACTGTGAGAATAAAGTGGGGAAGATATGTTGTTCTGAGGTCCTTGGGTGAAGAGTTGAAAGCAACAAATGAACATAACATTGTAACTCAGCAGAAAATGATAGAATGATAGATCTCTGATTTAAACTGGAGACTTACTTCCCTCAACTAATTATGTGAAGACAGAGGACTTATTTTCTTACATAATTACTGTTTCTGAAGTCTCAAACGTCCTTCAGGGCAGGGAACTGTCATTCATTCTGC